TTTTGGCAATTGTCCTAGGGTAAAGGTTCCCGAGCCAAGTCGACGCAAGTGCCTTAGTAGTTAGTATTCAGCAATGGCGTAATCAAAGAGGCCGGCAGGCTAATCGCGCGATTCCACTACCTCTCCAACTAGCCCTGGCAAACGGGGCAGGGGGGTTGGGTGGATTTCGGATTGACTCAACTCGGGTGACGGGTTATATAGGTTAAGTTATAAATAGGTTGCGGGTTGAAAAAGTTTAATCTTAACCCAACCTTAACGGGCTACGGGTTAACCCACGAGTTGATCTTATTTTCATTCTTTATAATTATTTTTTTATTAATTTTATTATATACGAATAAAATTATATATATCTAAATCTAGTTCAAGTATTGTGATTCATTAAAACTAAGTACTTTATAGTCTCAATCACAAACAATTAAATTAAGAAAAAAATCATAAAATTATAGTTATTAATAAGTAGGTTATGATTAACAATAACAATATTAAACGTAAAATATTTAAATTTCTTGAAAAATAAAGTTTTAATTTTATAATCATCTTGAAACATTATCAAATAGTTGAAGTCATTTTTTTAATGATGAAATTACTCTTCCAAGGACACTTTTCACTAAGTTATTATGTTTATGTCCTACCATCATATTTTTTAATATTTTTAGTTACATTATCATTTCATTCATGATATTTGGGTAATTGTTAATACCAAAAAAAAAAAATTGATACTTAGATAATTATATCAAATTCATTATAATTTCTTTGTCTTTCTCTAAAAAATAAGGAGAATGAATTAATCGAAGGAGTTAACAATCGAAAAATTAATTAAAAATAATAAGTATAATATTTAAAAATAATAATAATAAATTAAACAAACGGGTCAACTCATCAACCTGCAAGTTGACCCTAACTTGATCTGTAACTTGTACAAGTTAAAAATACGGATTATTTACGGGTTACGAGTTGGAATATATAGATCTCGACCCGTTTTTATGAGTCGGATTAAGATCAAGTTGACAGATCATATGTATTTTTGCCAAGTCTATCTTCAACCTAAACTCGTATCGAAACCACACGGTATAGGCATATCTTCTGTCGAAATTAATGCATT